TATGGGTATAACCTGAGGACACAAGTGCATGCCCCTTCTTGCTACAGCTCCCCACATCAGCAGTGATTCAAATAAGTCATGAGTGAGAGTAGCACCTCTCCCAGCAGAGTGAAAGGAGCCATCAGGTTGTACACTAAGCACCCTTTATTGCTTCTTGAGAGAGCAAAGCCTTCCAAGGTTTTGTATCAAGGGATAACTCTTCTGCAGCAGGATGACCCCCATAAAAGTGAAATATAGCAGATGGGCAAGTGATACAGAAGCAGGGCTGGAGGAGTGAGAAAGATGGACAAAAAGCAAGCAAGGGAGAGAAAATAAATAGTATCACACAAGGAAGACCCCACAAAGCTCCTCAGCAGCTGAAGGAGGGAAAATAACCAGGTGAGCCAGGTGCAGAGTAGCTCTGAGGACAAAGCAAGGGGACTCAGATCTGCCTGTTTCAAGTGGCTGTTTGCAGACATCTCAGCAGCAATCATGGCAACAGGGCTGTTTTTCCTGAAGCTAGCTCTAAATAGCTAGATATACAAACTAAATAACAGACTGTTATACCACTTAAGATATGAATTCTTTCTCACTATCTGCTAAGAAATCTGTCAGCAAAGCTCAGGTGGAAGCTGCACCCCAAGTTAGCACACAGAAGGTGGCTATCGGGGCCTAAAGCGAGAGCAGGAGCCTCGTGATTTAACCCTGAGATACAGGAGCCAGCCAGAGACGTGTCCTCAGTAGGGTGCAGCTTGTAAACAGCAAAGAAGGGTTAGAAGTGCAATTAGTCTGTATGACAACTGTGACCACCTTCTGTCACCACACTGGGCCAGGCCAAATCCCCCTTCCTCCCTCTCCTGCACAAAGCTGGGCCAAGACACAGGGCTTATAAATATGCTCATCTGCCTGTCAGCCCAGGGGAAAACAACAAACACACCCACAGCAACAGGCAGGGGTGTATATGGACAAGCCCAGACTATTGGCTGGCATGGCTGGCTGTCAGACCTTGAACAGACTGTAAGTAGGGAAGCAAAGGATACTGGAGAATCATTGCAGGATTTAGTAGTGGTCAGTGCTCTTCTTGTGGTCAGCACTGACACAGATAGCCCAGCACAACACAAGAAGAACTAAAATTATAGTAGCAAGATACTGTGCAACCCAAGCTACAGGATGTGGGAAACACCAAGGCAGAGATCAAACACCTTTGATCTCTCTTATCTGAGGCATTTCCCTCCAGTTCATCCATCTCCACTCAGGCTAACAGCTGAAACTCCATGAGCCATTGCATGTTTCCCAGTCAGGAACTACGTGTCTTCTGATCCAGCCACTTTCAGTCCTGTAGCTCTTTGTCCTTTGGCATGACAATGTGAGTTTTTATGACTTCTCATGGCTTCTCAGCTACAAGCAGCTCTAGAAGACATCAGCTGGGTTGCAGTTGTTGCCAAAATGGTCCTACATGAGTAAGAATGAAAGGCAACAAATTCCACCATCTCTTTCCATCCCTGTGCTCAGAAGGACAGTTGTTCACAACAGGGTCATATTTTGTGGGGGTTTTTTATCAAAGGTCCTGCCTGCTTAGTCTTTGAAGTGAAAGTCAAAACTCAAGAATAAGCAGTGTTGGTGGAGTGAGGCACAGGCACTATGCTGTCCTGCATTTGCTTTATCACATTCCCTGAGATGCTTTCTTCCACTCATTTCTGGGTCCCTCTACAGTCTTCCCAGCTACAGACCTGACATCTGTGTGCAGAGACGAAAGGGTCACACGTGATGGTCAGCATGCAGTCTTGCTCAGGAAACAAGGTTACAAGGGAACTCCGGGGAACATGGAGAATTATTCCTTTGCTGCCCTTCCTAAAAAACTTCAGTCACAGTCCCACTAATGATATCTTACAGTGTTTAAGTGGGAAGGGATGGAAATGACATAATGCCAGTCAACAAGGCAGAAAGAAGATTATGTGCTCCACGCTTCTAGAAATTACACCAAAAGCCTAACTGGAGAGGTCCTGAAGGCTGGACCTCTGCCTTGCCTTTGGTCACTGGTTCAGCCAGTCCAACTGAGTGACTTTCATTAATCTTCATATAGGAGGAAATTACATTGGCCCTGCTATCCACCCTGGTCCTACCCTTTCTGTCGTGAGTCTAGCCAGCAGCACAACATGGTCTATGTGCTGGGGGCATTGCTGACCTGTGGTTAGCACAGATAATTTGCTAAAGTGTTCTCTTCAATAATCAACATTTTAATTCTGAGATTACTCATCTGTGCCACTGTTTGGCCATTATCACAATCTGGGTTAATCACTTTCCTATCTGCCTGTGATTTCATGTCTTTGTAGCAAAGACCATTCACTTCCACTTTTTCTTACCAACGCTTCCCAACTGGAAGGAGTGCTATGACTAACGGATATGTCCAATTAATGGATCCAGTCTCAACTCATCACCCTGCCCCTGCAATACCAAAGTGCTGGCAAATACCTTCCATACACTCAGAAGGTTCTTGTTTGTATCACAATCCCCAGGCTACTGCTGACCATGACTATTCAGGAGTGTACACACAGAATAGGGAGCAGAATCTGTAGTGAGGCCCACTAGGGAATCCAGAAACACAGGCCATGTGTCCTACCAAAAGCCATTGGATCCATGCCTCTATCCTGTGCATGCAGTATGATGCACTAGCCACTAGTGCCTGGATTCACACTTCTTGGTCCACAGATGCTGCTGCCAGAACTCACATAGTCTGGTGAGCTCCAATTTATCTCTTCGTTCCACCCTGCTGAGGAGTGAAGCACCGGGTCTTTCCCTCCCCTTTGGAGCCACCTGATGCCTCTTCGGGTATGACACCAGATCCTAGTGCCTGCCTTAGCTGAAATGTTACCCTTTACAGTGCCGGGCACTCGGCCAGCCCTCCTGCACCAGTGGCTGCGCGTGCGAAGGGCCAGCATGTTTGCACGCAGCTCCGTTCCATTCAGCCTCTCCCAGCAGCTGCTGCGGGGGTGATGGGGACAAGCAGATCTGTTTTCAGACCCCCTGGGTGGGCTTCAACAGGTCTGTTTATTCACTGATTTAAGAAATCCAGCTGCAGTTATGGTTAAGATGCTGAGGAAAGGAGACCAGGCTGAGGGCTTGGCTCGAGGCAGGTCTTCTGCCACTGTGCGCACTGCTGTGCTTGCTCCGTTGTTACCCTGCAAGTACCACCATCACACATATGGTGCAGCCACAGTACTGATTTCATCACTTAACTATGTATCACACAACTTCCTGAAGCAGAAACCCCTTCTGCCAAAGTCTTAAGGTTCTGTGATAAAGGAGAAAGAGAAACATTCCTCTTCATTGCCACTGCTCACTGTCAGTAGCTTCTGTCACATTGTCTTTGTCAGGCAGCACTGAATACCTGATCCTCATCAACATGATTGGCTTCTGCAAGAAGACATGCTTGGTCCTGTTGAAATCGGACAGTTTTATCTGTTTCCCCAAAGATGTCAGTGTTCCACCTGTAGTGGTTTTGTATTTACCTTCAAATCATGGATGGAAATGTTGATAGTTTTCAAATATTGATCCCTGCAGAAACCAACCAAAATAACCAAACAGCATTTCCAGCTGACAGTTATTTCTCCTGTCCACTAAAAGTTCTCAGTTCACTTAACTATGCTTTATTGGCTGGGCATAGTACATCTTCTTAATCAATACAGCATACTCGAATTTCCTTCATATCAATAGGTCATGCCTTACAAATTGTATACTGTAATGCTATGAATTTACTTTATCGAACACAACTTTTTTAGCAAACAGTGCTGAGTATCATATTCCAAAGAGCATGTTCCTAACCTATAAGTCACTATTAGCAATCATCTGTATCAGATTTTCCACTATTTTTCATCAGATATTTGTCAGCTACCTGGCCTTTAGAACCATTAGGGCTTCTCCACTTTAAACACAGCTATGGTGTTGGTAACTTAACACTCCTGTGCCATTCCTACAGTGATCAAAGAGTAATTAAACCCAAATCTCAGCAGGCCAAAGTTGTGCAGCATTTATTATATTTTAGGGTAATGAAAGATTATAAAATATGGAAGCGGACAGAAGAAAAATGTATCTTGAACAGGGCAAGCACAATGATGGCTCATAAGGTAGGCTGGGGAGCTGGAAGAAAGACATGAGGGATAAGTGATGCAGAGAGCAGGAAAGTACAAAAGAATAGTATGAAGGTGATGTTGCTGAGAGAAGGATGAATGAAAGGTGTTTACCAGGTGATGGGTAGTAGAAAGGGAAAGTTAATGAGGAAGATAAGTAATAGTAGAATTCCATGGGGTGAGAAGACACCGGCAAAAGACAGTTGAACATTGGGCAACTACGGAAGAGTGTGTGCAGGAAAGGATCTGAAGTGAAAAAAAAGCTGGGATGCTAGAAACTATGGTGTTGGACCAGTGCATTTTTTAAAGCTACTAAGCCATTGAGAATGGAAACTAAGATGGGCATGTTTCCAGCAATAGGGTCAGGCTAGGAGCCAGGAAGGATTACCAACAGCATAATCCTGGGGACTGGAAAGAGGTAGTAAAGTAATGAGAGCTTCTAACCTCTAATTTTCTACTTGCTACCTCTTTCCAGGATTAAAATGTGCACCTAGAAGGACACTGGAGGATTAAGAGATATGTGTTGCTAGGGAAGGGTTAAAGTGGTGGTAAGAAATGGGAGAATGAAGATCCTTAGAGCGGTAACTGGGCATCTAAGAGCATGAAGGACATTCTCTTAGGATCTGAAAGCAGTACAGGGAGGGAGGTGTGCTCAACACCACCATCGGTGCCCAGCTACCATCTGCAGATACATGCTGGGAGCTTCCCAGCACCTCCACCCCACCGGCCTGAAGCCACCCTCCAAGGGTCCTGGTGGAGGCCCAGGCAGCATCTAGGGGTGGTCCCTGCCATGTACTGAGATGGCAGCAGGCTCTGTCATGCCCCTGCTTTCCCACATCAAGCAGGCCCCACAAACATTTTATTATGAAGGAAAAAGAGCCACATACACAAACACAAAAGTACATATTTTGCTCTATTTTGAGACAAGGCAGGTGCTGCAGCACCTAGAAAACACCCTGGAGTCCCTGTGGCCAGGAAACGAGTGGGTGCTTCACACGCAGAGAGTTATTTCCAAAAGAAAGATATTTTAAAGCCCCAAGGAAGCACAAGCAGGTGGCACTGGGCAGCACTGAACCATGGGGTGAGGACCATCAGAGAAGGAGCTCGGCTCCATAGCAACAAAGAAGTTGCTCTCTGGATCACCATGGCCTCTCACACCCAGGCCACCATGGTGCCTCACACTCTGAAGTCCCTTGCAAGGTGAGACCTGCCATCTTGCCCCTATGGGGGACAGGCGCTAGGGCTTCACTGCAGCCTCCTGGTTGTTGCCATCCTCCAGCCGCCAAGGGCAATCGACATAGCGCAGCACCCCACTGACAGGGCAACGCTTGGCAGGATCTAGGGCTAGCAGGCTCCGCAGCATCAGGGCAGCCTCTGCTGTCAAGCGTTTCCAGTGGCGGGGCAGGTCCTCTTCCAGGCCTGTCTCCTGCCACTGCATGAAGTCCTCAAAGAAAGGGTCATCTGGCAGGCTCTGCTCCCAGGGGAAGTAGCCAGTCAGCAGGCAGAAGAGCAGCACGCCGAAGGCCCAGGCGTCCAAGCTGGTGTCAATGGGCACCCCCTGGGCATCAGCGGTGTTGCTGAGCTCCGGGGCGGTATAGGGGATTACCCCGGCCACCAGCTTGAGCTTGGTACCCTTGGGCCGTGTAAGCCCGAAGTCAGTCAGCTTGATGCGCCGACACTCAGGATCGAAAAGCAGCACGTTCTCAGGCTTGATGTCACGGTACACGAGCCCTCGGCTGTGGATGAACTCCAGCGCGCTCACGAGCTGCTTGGCACACTGCTTAGCGGCTGGCTCAGGGATCCCATCCTGCCCAGAGAGACAGACAGGCAGTGCAGAACACTCGTGACACCTTGGCAGCCCTGCTAGCTACGCTTCCAACTTCCTGCTCGGCACTGGGGAAGACCTTTGTATTTCTGGTGTTGCAAGCCTGAAGCTGTTTCAGTGCTGTAGGCACCAGTGTAACAGCCCATTGCCCTTACGCCCCTCTGACCCAGCCAGCCCGCACAGTGGACAAATGCTACAGTCCCAGTCCCCATGGCCTTGTATCAGCACTCACCCGGGGTTTGATGATAGAGATGAGATCTTTGTGCAGTGCTGGTTCGTAGAGGAAGCCATAGTACTGACTGGACTCGATGGCAATTCCAAACATGCCGATGATGGCAGGGTGGGTGGCAAGGGAGAGTGCCACGCAATACTCATACAGGAAGGTATGCAGCTTGGTACTGGCTTTGGGTAGCAGCTTGAGAGCCATAGGAGTCCCTGGGAATGGGAAGAGTGGGTTTGACTCTTCTGAAAGTCACTCTCCTCAAGGCCAAACTGAGAGGGAACTGAGCAGCCATGGAACTGGACACTTACAGCCACAGGGAGGTTTCTGACCCAAACCTTTGTGTAGATACATCCTGTGGACACCAGATCTGGGACAAGGTATTGCCACTGGTGTGGGTTTTGAGCCAGTCAGTGCACAGGAGCACTGGGCAACACCAGGGACACTCAGGCTACGTGGGCTCATCAGTCCAAACTGGGACTACTGGCGAAGAGTAGTGTCAGGGCTCTGTGGGCACTATTAGGCCTTAATGGCCTTGCCCAACTCCACCTAAGACCTTTACTCACACCCTCTCTCCAGGGGCCTTCAGGCACCATTTAAGCTCAGGCCTGGGGCTTCACTCCCTGCCTGTGCTACATGGTGGGAGTGCTGTTTTCCAGCTATATCACATCCGTGCTGATACCTAGTCCTATTGATCCTGACTTGTGGATTGACTTCCCAGCTTGACCCTGCACCTGCCTCATCACTGTAACTTTGCCTGATGTTCTGGGCTGTCCCCTGGGCACAACGGGAGGCTGTCTGGCTGGGGAGGTCCTGTCCTCAGTGTTCCCTGGGGAACCCCTGTGGTGCCTGGTGCCTGGCCCCAGGGAACCACTAGCCCACCCAACACCCTGGTGAATGAAGAGGAGACAAGGCATAGTGGTTCACAGGGCACAGTCAGTTCCTTACCTCTCTGCCTGTGGGTCACTAGCATCACGTGGCCATACTTGCCCCTGCCCAGCTCCCGAATAACCTCATAGTGCTCAGTCACCTCGGTGCGCACCAGGCTCTGAGCTGTGATCTCCAGGAGCTCCTCTAGCTTGGCTGGTGCCGCTGTCCCTGCCGCTGCTGCAGCCACAGCTGAGCTCTCGGCCATCGATGAGTGCTGCAGAAACACCACAGCCTGAGTCAGAAACATCACAACATGCAGAGAAAACCAGATCAAACTCGCCATGCAAACCATGGCATGGCAGTGGGTGCTTCTGCCACTTGGAGCCTGAGTGCTTTCACAGCTGTGCTAGAGTTGAGCTTGTGCTTTTATACAGTACACCCCTGGGCAGAGCCCCTCATCATGTAACAGGTCCCATATTGAAGAGAACCTCCATCAACCCTCTAATCCTTTCTGGCCTCCAGCCTCTTAACTGTAGTCCTGGAGCCTCTCTTTTCAAGGGCCTGGATCACCTTGCTGTGTCAGCTTGGCTTTCAGGCCTCCTCTTATTCTAGTCTCCAAGGTGTTAGGCAACAAGCAAAAACATAACAGTCCCTGATTATCAATCATGAGTGACCCGGTCATCTTACTGTCCTTAGCCTACTGCAGCAAGACCATGTCTCTCTACTAAGAAACTCACCCTCACTTCTTACTGAAGAAAGTCCTTGAGGTAGCAGCAGAGACAGACTTGCTCCTTAGGCAGCAGCACAGCTAGCCCATGACAAAAAAGGGATTACTAGTCAGGCAGTGTGCTCAGAGCAAGCCAAAGGGAGCTCAGTACCTCACATGCCTACTGACATTTCTGACGCAAAGTCACTCATCTGTGCAGCCAAGAAACCCGGGCAGGAAGGAAGCTTGGACATCAATGGCATTCTGACCTACAGCCAGCTGCTTCAGACCCATTTCAGAGAAATGTTTTTTAGCCCCCCAGCCAGCTACAAGGCAACATTTTAAGGCACCTATGGCACCACTCTCCCCCTGACTACCTCCCTGTGCTCTGAACGCAGGCACCCTGGGCCTGGGAGACCCTCCTGGCTTTGGAGCAAGGTCACAGAACCAAAGTCACAGCATGGTTGAGGTCAGAAGGTACCTCCAGAGATCACCTAGTGTAGTCTCCTGCTCAGAGGAAGGTTAACTATAGCAGGTTGCTCTGGACTGTGTGTGGCCCAGTTCCGATTATCTCTAAGGATGGAGACTCCACAGCTGCTCTGGGCAACTTGTTCCAGTGTTCGATCACCTTTATGGAAAAAAAGTTTTTTCTTATGCTTAAATAGCAATTCTGTATTTGAGGCCCACTGCCTTTTGTCTTGTCACTTAACACCAGTAAGAAGAATCCGGCAGTTTCTTTTTTACAGGTATTTATACACATCAACAAGATTATCCCATCAAGCTTTCTGCTTTTGAGGCTAAACAACTCCCAGCTGTCTTAGCATCTCCTTGTATGAGGTGCTTCACTATCTTAATCATTTTCACAGACTAGATTCATTCCAGTATTGTCCACACCTCTTTTCACTGAGAAGCCCAGAACTGGACCCAGATGTGGCCTTCACTAGTAAAGAGGAAGGATCATCTCCATTGACCTACTGGTAACACTGCCTAATGCAGCCCAGGGTGCAACCCAACAACCCAAGAGCATGAGGGCTGCAGCATTCTCAGATATGTCGTATACACTGTGCAATGAGACAGACCTCTAGTGTAAAACTGGTGGCTCGTTTCTGCACCTACAAACTCAGGACCACTTCCCATCAAACATTCTGACACACGACACCTTCAGAGGAGGGAATAAGACCTCACGTTGCTAAAAAGGAAGATGGCATCCTGGGAATATGAGTGGAAGCAGAAAGTATGAAGACTTTTCCCTTAGTTTTTACACTGTTCTGTCTGTGACCAGAGCTTATTACAGTTCCTTCAATTTTCAATTTCCAATAATTTTCAATTAATCTGGTCATTCTTAAGAATCCACTGATTTAGCAACAGAATTCTTTAAAACTAGGAAAACAACAAAAGGGCTGGATTTGTACATGAGACTGGGACTGCCTGTGGCAAAGTTCCCTTTCTTTTCCCTTCCTTCTTTCATAAACTGCATTAAGTCTTACCCAGTTCAGAAGTACAAAGTAATTTGCCCTACTTTTCTTCAAAGGCTTTGGCTCGGTGTGAGAGCCAACAGCAGTGAAAGTTAGCAAAGTCCGTGGGGAGTTCAACAATGAACTAGTGTATGCACAGGAGGGAACGAATGGAAGGCTGGTGAGAAACTCACAGAGAAAGTCTGGAAAGTATTTTAGAGATTTTCCTCTGATGTCCTCCTGCTTGCTGCCCAGCCAAACTGGTGCTGCCACGTTTAAGTGTTAAAACATATAGGTGAAAGAGCGTTTTAAAGAGACCTAGCTAGGAATACGGAGAAAAAAAACTCTTAAAGTGCAATAGACTTTTGAAAGACATAGACCTCCCTTGATGTTAAATAGGCTAAAGCCACAATAACCAGGGAGTGAAACAACAGAAGAGATGACTGCTTGTCTTGTGCGGAACACATTAGATTTATATCTGGGGGGAAGGGAAAAACCCAACTAAAAGATCTCTTCTGTAAGACAGTGTTTCTCCTATATCAAATTCATGGTCATGGACAAGTTCTTGTTAGCAAATGGTTCACAATCTTCTTGGATAACTTTATTTCTCAAACTTGAGGTAGATAAAATGTCTTCCATTGTAGGCTGGCCACCTGTTAGTGCTATCCAACCCAAAGGTTAGAATCTTCTCAGTGCATCCATTCACTGTATTAATCAATAATGATGTAATTTTAAAATACTTATTAATTTTATTTGTATTGAATTATTTTTATCTGATTCATCTATTCTCTTTTGAAATGATTCATTACTTCTATTTACTGTGTTAAATACTTCCTTTTGTAAATGGGAGGATATGCTTCTCTGAATATTCTTGGTTCTTACTCCAGCTTTGGGAGTCAAAACATTTCAGTTCATAAGCTTTTGCAGTTAAAAAATAATCCCGAAAACTCTTTTGTCCTTCCACTCCATGTTTCAAGTGAACTGCAGTATAGGTGCCAAGGATCCTTACTTTCATGCATGGCCCCAGTGGCATGGGAGGGCAGATTGTTTAGGTACAGAATAGACCATCAAAGTAAAATAGCCAGCATGGAAAAAAAGATCAGCCAGAGGATATGGGTAAAGTGTCTTGTGGGACAACGACAATATTGTGGGTCTGACGAGGGCTCCATATGAAGGAAGCCCCAGCTGCAGTCACTCCAGAAAAGTCTGCAGGCATTGGCCATTGCTACCCTTGAGGCAATTGATTACACTACACAGTCCATACTCCAGGAAATAGCTAAAGCTGTCAGGTCTTTCTCTGAGATACCACTGCCATTATATAGGAAGCTAAGTGAGGTCCAGGTTTGGGTCACTAGTGGGTAGAGCATGTCTGGGTACCCTGTTACCTTCTAGAGTGCCATCTGCCTTTTGCAGAGTGACAAACACTGAGGAGGAGGCCCCCAGGGCTCTGTCCAGGATGCACCCACTGTTTTGCTGTGCTGTATTGAAGTCAGCAGGTGGGGTCCTATTCAAAACTGTTCTTTCATCCACTATCCTTCCTGTGCTTCATCCCTCCTATAGGTCTTATTTCCAGGCTGTTAACATGTGAGAAACCCTAATTCCCCACAAGAGTTTCTCATTACAGCAGCAAGAAATTCACATCCTTTCCACGACCAGGAGATGCCTTCCAGCTTCCTGAGGAGCTGAGGAGGAGCTAGCCTATGAAGACACAGTGTCTTAGCTAGGTAATGTTATTCTGGTTCTTCAACCAAAATGATTAACATATTTGGTCCACAAAAGCACTCCATACATGTCAAGAGCCAAGGACAGTGTAATCTCTGTATAACAGAAATACTGCTATGATGGCAGAATCACAGAGGTGCTTAGGCTGGAATGGGGCCTTTTGACATCAGCTAATCCAATTCCTCAGCTCAAGCAGCAGCAGCTGAAGCAGGTTATATAGGAAGGTGTCCAGTTAGGTTTTTAGTATCTTCACAGATGGAGACTCCACAACCTCTCTGGTTGACACACTGAGAAGCTGCACTGCCTCATATATCCATCATGACTCCAGAGTTTTTCCAAATTACTGAGGGCACTGGGGGAAAAGCTCCACTTCCTCTTCACGTCCCTTTCTGGGTGTTGCCTGCTGCGTTTCTAAATACTTTCACAACAGCTTTTATAAATCCCATTTTGCTCAAATGGATTTAGTGTATCAAGTAATTCAGATCACTTGGTGTCTGTTGTTATCCAACCACCACAGTCATTCTGTCTAGGGGCTGTGGAAGGACCCTATCCATGGAGGTTTCCCATCAGCCTCTAATTCACTGGTGAGAGTTTGGAGCAGTTTTCAGACCAGTATTGGTTCAAACAGCACAGCCAGAAATATCCCATTCACTGACCATTCTCTGAAAGCTGTCTGTACAAATTAATTGTGCTATTGGTCAAAATCAATAAGCCTCATATTTTTAATGGATTTAAAAATAAGCATAGTACAGTGGAAATTATTGTCTTTTATTGGTGTCCTAACTCCACGCAATTAATTTTGTTTGATCCTGACCCTGTTAGTATACTTTTACCTTTGTCATTGATCTAGAAGAAAGCCCTGAAATCATACAGAAAATGTCTGCAAATGACACAACATGAGTTTGGGTAGATAATGCACTGCTTGGTAAAACTAGTGCATGCACATACACGCACACAAAAGTTTTTCAAATGACAAAAGAATTCAGGATTTTAGCCTGGCATTATGTGACAGGAAACAAAAACATCATATTAATAAAATAAATCTAAGTTCTTCATGTTGCTTTGTAAATAAAACAGGCACTATGTAAACCCAGAAATGTAGATCTGGTATAGCCTCACTTTGCAGGCCTTAGTATGTAGGGTGATACAGACTTGCACTAGAAAGAATCTACAGTGATATAGATATACATCTATGAGGATACAGATGCAACCCTAGAAAATTGGCACTACAAGGGTTAGTTACTTTTGCATTTACTTTGCTGAAGAGAATGTCCAAGAAGTGTCAGACACTGGAATCATCAGCAGCAAGAGGCAAAATAGCATTTTTCTGATGCTAAATTAGGAAAAACAAAAAATAAAGACAGATACAGCCGCTCAGCTTTACATAGACTGAGACGGATCATAAGACGAGATCTGTTCTGAGGCGAAGTGCCTCCTACAGTGAACTCTGGTTTCTGCAGAGGTTCCTACACACAGATGCCCTGAGACAGTCTGAAATTTAATCTCTGAAAATCAGCTGAGTTAGGAAAGCTGTATTTCTGAAAAGCTGGCCACCTGCTAACGACATCTTCACTAGAATTGAGAACACTGTGCACCAGTGGGGTTTGTGTTTTGATTAGAAATGTATTCCTTCCATGTGCTCTGCTTTGCATTCTTATTTATTTACTTTTCTGTGATTTTTTTATAATATTAAAAACATACTGATGTGAAAGGATGGTTTCTAGGGTAAATTTCCTGAACTCCTCCGGAGGATAGCCGATGGGTGAACAGAACTAGCTACTAGATGCTTTCTATATTTTAACAGTATCGGTGAAACCATAGTTCAGCAAGCTTGAGCTGGTGTTATTCATGGTTTGATGGAAAAAAGGACTAGAGAAGAACCATGAGAATGACAGAATGACAGTGGGGCTTCCAATTACAGGGGAAACTTCCAGGCGAGCGGTCTTTAGCTTATCAAACAGAGAGAAAAGAAGTTACTCCGTCATCTATGAGTACCTTTGTGGGCAGTAGAATTTCACCACAAAGGGTTCTCCCTTAGTAAAAGCATTATAATTAATAAAAGCTTTATAATAAAACGAATAGCTGAAGCTGAAACGAGGCAATTTCAGAGCTCAGTCGCAGGGCATATTTTGTGAAGAAGGACATTTATCCTTGAAAATCTCATCAGAGTGGAAGAATATCCTTCCATCTCTGGAACTTTCAACTCAAGAATGGCACTATTTTTTTTCCCTATAAGGTCCACTCCAGTGCAAACCACGTTTAATACACACAAGGGACCTGAGCAGATTATCCCTGTGGTTGTTTCTGGCCTTTCTGGGGGCATGTTTACGGGGTCCTTTCTAAAAGCGGTCAGCAGGCTACTGCTTAATCTCACTGTGGAGAACCACATCACCGTCCCTTACAGAAACGCGTATCGCACTTCTCGGGCAGAAACCTAACAGCGTCCCCAGAGAGAGACCTGTAAGCCTCTCCCCAGCAAGCAGTATACCACAGTCTCCATCCACATAGCAGCCTCCTCGGTCAGAAGATGGCACACACAGCCTCACTGGGATCAAGCGCCATCACACCCTCCTCCCAAGCAACCAGCCAGCACTACGGCACCATCTCACTGGACACAACTAGACAAAAACCAACCTTTGGGGCAGAGACACCCAAGGAGTTCACCATCAACCAGATGTGGGAAATGGGTGCACTCCATGTTCTGCCAGCACGCTACGCCAGAGTCTCCAAAACCAGTTTGTG